ATCATGAATCGAGAAAAATGTTTCAGACAAATCGTATGTGCTTTTAGCCAAAGATTCCGAATATGCAATAAAAAATAGGGGTTTCCATTTAAGATTTCAAACTTGTCCCCCCTCACCGCCCAGAGGGCGGGGTGGAGGGGCTGATTTTAACGTCAGTGTATGTCACCCTCGGAATGATGAAATATTGATTCTTAACATTTTTTCTTAGTGTGCTTATTTTTCGAGATATTTGAAAGTTTCAGGTTAAAAAAATCACCCTGTATATTAAATTTGTGGGGCCATGAACATCATTTCATTTGAAAAATTTGAAAATTTACAGAATGGCAACCATTTGAAATAAAGTGTCAACCTTCACGAACTTTTCTTTATTTTCAATCTGTTAAAGGAAACCTATCGGAAAAGACATTAAAAATGAAAAAAAAGCCGTCAAGTATATTTTGCAGAAAAAAGTTATCAAAAATAATGCCACAAAAAAAGAAATGAAATCAAAATAATATTTCAAGTATCTCTATTTTAAAAGTCCCGTAGAACACAGTTCTCTGAACGGCATCTTGAAGGCTTTCTTATGATGTAGAAGTCTTTTCGATATCTTTTAAGGCAGTGTTATATGGAATAATTTCTCACAATTATAATATACATACTACACAAAGTACAGATGACATTTGAAGTGTATTAAGTATAACATTAATGAGAGAACGAAATACAATAGATAGCGTAATGAGAGGCGCGGAAACTGAAAAGGGATTTTTACATAGATAACAAGTTGAAAATTGTATGTAGAAATAAAAAATCGAAAATGAGATGCAAGATCGCCAGCAGCAGCATTCTTGACGCGCCCGTCTTGTTTATAATCGTAATTTAAAATAAAAATTGCTAAGACAGTCGTTCGCATCCTGACTTGTCATAGTATGTAGATATCAATGCACTGAAAAAAATTTCTGGTTAAATTTATTAGAATTCTAGTTGAGATAACCGGAATTCTGGTTGATACTATATTTCTGGTGAAATCTACTAGAATTCTTATTTTTTTACCAGAATAATTATATTAATCAGAATTCTAGTTATCTTAACTAGAATTTTAATAGACATAACCAGAAAATTCTGATTCGTCCATTTTCCACCAGAATTACTGTTTAATCCAACCAGATCATTTTTCTCAGTGTGACAATTAAAATTAATTATGATTTAATAAAATTTTAAATATTGTAATAAAATTAATGTTATAGTATAATTTTCATTCTAATTCATTCTAGTTAAGAAAGATTCCTGGCCTATAAGTCAATTTCTCCTCCTGTTCGAAGAACAAATTTTGTTGCATTTGAGCCCTTCTTCTTTCGATTCTTGCTAGTTCTGCGCGTAATACCACTGAGCTCACTTGATTTTTTCAAAAAATTTTTTTGAAATTAAGATATATTTTTCAGTGTACACATTTAGTTAACGTATTTGTTCTATTTTGAAGTGAAACTTTTGATATTCTAACATCTAAATAATATTAATAATAATAATAATAAAACTCTGTAAACAGTGACCGCGGGACAATATGTTTCAAAGTCCTACAGCCTTACAGTGTCTTTATATTATATGGTTTACAACTAATATCGTTCCTGAATTCGATCTATGTTTTTACGCGCAATATAAATGCTATGAAACAAAAGGAGGATGACAGGATGACATACCGGACACCAGGCCTAGTGATACATATATGTTACGGAAAAAACTGTCGGACATAATATCACAAAAAAAGTATTATATTTTTCAATATTTCGAAAAATATTATTACGGTATAAGACATTCTGAAAAAAAAGCCTTGCTTATTTTCTAATTCCAAGAAGCATGTTAGGATTTCCAAAAAGGCAAGAAGACTCACGAAAATCAAGCTGTTCGTGAGAAGCAAGGGAACTCATATAAATTATGCATCTCAAAGGAATAAAGACGCCCATTACGTCCATGTCGTTTGTTCCGGGTAATTCCGAAAACGGGCGCAAAATTAAAATCATAAACATTCCATTGGTACACGTACAAGTGTAGTAAAAAAAAGATATATTTCGATTGTTTGTACTTTTTCATATAAAATGTAAAGACTTTCCAAAGGTCCTAGAGCAAAAACTAAGACATTTAGAAGTTTGTACCCATGAAGAATTTTAATCAGCTTAACACAAGTTATTAGGTGTACAACTTTGCTTCCGCCGTTTTCCTATAGATGGCTTTAGCGGTAAGTGGTGGTCGAAATAAATAGATCATAGACGTCATACAATAAACTTGGGCATCTATCAACATAACCCCATAGAAACATTAGTCGATTTGTGTCTGCATCATAAAGTTATTCTCGATTGAAAATGTCAGTTTACGAGCCAAATTCTCGTCATTTGAGGGAGGTTTGAATTTTTTGCTTCAATATGAAGAAATCTGCAGCTGAGGCTCATCGAATGCTCTCAAATACTTATGGTGAGGCCGCTATTAGTGAAAGAATGTGTAGTGAATGGTTTCAACGCTTCAAGAACAGTGATTTTGACGTCGAAGACCGGCATAGCGGTGGAAGAGAGGTTTTCGAAGATGCAGAATTGGAGGCATTACTTGATCAAGACTCGTGTCAAAATCAAGAAGAATTGGCACGATCATTGGGAGTGACTCAACAAGCCATTTCAAAACGCCTCAAAGCCATGGGAATGATTCAGAAGCAAGGAAATTGGGTGCGGTACGAGTTGAAGCCGAGAGATGTTGAACGGCGTTTGTTTGCTTGTGAACAGCTGCTTGAAAGGCACAGACGGAAGGAATTTCTGCATCGCATTGTGACTAGGGACGAAAAATGGGTTCATTACGATAACTCCAAGCGCAGAAAATCATGGGGAGTTCCCGGCCATACTTCCACGTCGACGGTCAAACCGAATTCATGGCTCCAAGGGCATGCTCTGTATTTGGTGGGACCAGCTCGTAGTGTATTATGAGCTGTTAAAACCGACTGAAACAATCACAGGCGATCGGTATCGAACGCAATTGATGCGTTTGAGCCGAGCATTGAAAGACAAACGGCCGCAATACAACGAGAGATACGATAAAGTGATTTTGTAGGATGACAATGCTCGACCCCATGTTGCGAAAGTGGTCAAGACATACTTGGAAACGTTGAAATGGGAAGTCCTACCCCACCCGCCGTATTCTCCAGACGTTGCTCTCTCTGACTATCACTTGTTTCGATCAATGGCACAGTGGCTGACCAGCACTTCCAATCTTATGAAGAAGTAAAAAATTGGATCGTCTCAAAAGATGACCAGTTTTTTCGACTCGGGATTCGTACGCTGCCCGAAAGACAGGAGAAAGTAGTGGCCAGCGATGGACAATACTTTGAATAATAAATGTATAACCAGTTTTTTATAATAAAGCCTCGAATTTCGGAAAAAAACGGTAAAGTTGTACACCTAATACAAAATATTAAAATTTAAAGCTATTTTTGACCAAAATCCTTAAGATTTGTGCGAGGTTCTTTCACAGATTGTTTTATCAGCAGTTCATAAAAAATAAATCGCTTACCGAAATTGTAGCAGTATCTAATCAAATAAGTTACATACAGATGCGAAAACTTAAATCAATTTAATGAAGAATATAAGGCGACATATCTTAACGAATCGAGAACGTGCGTGAGAAGCTTTGGATATATTAATTAGCATCCGGTAAAAAATTTTTCATGCATGAATATGTATAAATATGTATAAACATACAAAAACACGCATAAATATTCATAAACATATATAATTATACATGAAATATGTCCATACATGTTTGTACATCCTTTTTTCTTTTGTAAAATGACTTTTTAGTGTAATAGAAATAATAATATTAATGTAAAAACAAAAAATAATTAAAGGCATAATTTTTTAATTGTTTGTTTTAGAAAAAAACAAGTTTGGAAAAATGTAAAAAAAATTGCTCATACATAATTGTGCATAATTTTATATATAATTATACATAAATAATTTTTTTATATTCCTTCAAACTTGATTTTTTCTAAAACAAATAGTGCGAAAATTACCTTTTTAATTATTTTTAATGTTTTCACATTACATTATTATTATTTCTATTACACTAAAAAGTAATTTTATAAAAGAAAGAAGGATGTATAAACATATGTATGGACATATTTCATATATAATTATACATGTTTATGAATATTTATGCGTGTTTATATATGTTTATACATATTATTACATATTCATGCATGAAACATTTTTTACCGGGCACGAACATGAAAAATTTGATATGCAAATCATCATTCGTGACATAGTAATTGTATAGTATCTTGAATTTCTTTGTTGTTATTTTTTTTAAATAGAGTCTTTTTAATTATTATTGTTCTATGATATATAATTTTTTATTATATGACTATTTACAGTGCAAACCAGGAGCTAACCAAGATCAAAAATAATGCGACAAACGTGGAAATTTTGGAAGCCATGAAACATCCTCAGACTGGTGTTGGTTTCTTAACGCAACATCCCTCGCTTCCTAGCCAAACATTTGTTAGCGCTGATGCAATCCAATGGTTAAATAACCATGTAGAAGGAGGCATGGAAATCGAACATGGTATTAATATTATGAAGGTAAAAATTTAGAACAATTTTATTATCTAATGCAGTTTACAATTTGAATTTGATATTATCATAATAGTTAATCTCAACTTGCACACATATAATAATATATTGTGCATATTGTTTATATTGTATATCTTTACATATCTTTGTATAATTAGAAAAACATAGCTGATTGAAGTTTGGAACCTTCTCGGAACGAATTAAAAAAAATGGTTTGGCCTATTTCTCCTTTTGCGCAGAGCTGCTTCTGTTTGCCAGACAACAAGTAAAAAACATTCCGATCGAATACATGCGCCGGAAGGCTTAAGAGGATGCTAAACCACTTACCGAACTTGATCGAGGTCGATAGTACAGACTTTTTAAATTCCAAATTCGATAATAGTGACATCTTTGATTCATTTCTTACGTTATATTGGGTGCTTTCCAATTGCTTAACACATCTTAATACAAACGTACACAGGAATGCACAAAGCGTAACGTTGTGCACGATTCAATTGGAACAGAATGTGTATGCTGTGCATAGTTGAGATCCGTTTCGGATGGAGTTAAATTAAATGTAGCTTTTTCCGCCTGTGTTAAACAAAAGAAAGTAAAAATGCCGGCCACTCAACGTCTTCCAATCTCATTTATAGCCGCTGCAGTTAGTAACATGTACCAAATTGTCACTAGAAAACACAAGCTTACACACAGCCCTTGACTGAGTAGCCCTCGGATGTGTAGTGTTGTGTCGATGATAACGGACAACTGGAACGCAACTTGTGTCGCCGTGTGTAAGAAAGTGTCTTGGGATATTGCAATTGGAAAGCACCCATTATATATCGTTCTGTTTACTTAAACGCATACATCTGTCCTAACATATGCCAGTACCATCTATCGTAAGACCGCGCAACTATTGCTACACGGAATTTCGGCTTTGTTAACATTCCCAGTCTTCGCAAAATATCCGTATACACGTATTTTCTACACGGTGAAAATACTTTTCTTCAATTTTCTACAAACTTGGTATCGTTCGTTCCAGTAATGTGACCTCAGCTGCACGCTTATTTTTAAGATATGGCCTCTAAAATTCTTATATCAAGCAAATATATATACCTAAGGTGACAGCTATATGAGCCAAAAGTAAATGAACTTTTAACTTTTTTCGATTTTCTCATGAAATCCAGCAACTGAGTCCTGTTTGTGCCTACTTTATTTTCGTAATAACACTTTTGCAATCCGTAAATCCAATTCGGAGATTTTTCACCGTGTGGAAATGTCAGTAATCCGTCTTTAGCATCCCCTTAAGCGCGAAAAACTACCCCAGGAAAATAAACAAAAATTCTTCCAAAGCTAAAAATGATTTGGCCCTTTCCTCCTTTTGCGTAGAGCTACTTTTGTATGCCAGACAACAAATAAAAAACATCCCGATCGAATACATGCATCGGAAGACACCCTTAAGCGCGGAAAACTACCCCTGAGGAATTTTAAAAAGTTTGAAAAATTATGTCTTTTTCTATTATATAAAACAAAAATTTTCTGCTTTAAAATATATTTTCTAACTTTCCACACGAAGTGACTCTCGTCCTATTTCCTCCCTGCTAAGGAGCGCGCGACACACGCGAAGCGACTTCCATCTCACCTCCCCTCTGCTGAGGGGCGCACGGCTTCCATGTGAAGTGATTTTCACCTCATCTCGCCAAGTTGCTTTGCGTGGAAAGTCGGTCGTCCTTGAAGTAGAGGGGAGGTGGGATGGGAATCGCTTCGCGTGGTAGTCGTGCGCCCCTGAGCAGGGCGTGGGAGGGGAGGGGGAGTAGAGATCTTGTAATCAGAGTTTGGCGAATGTGGACCAAAAAAGTCGGATAGAAAAAGATAACAGATATTGCTTTCTCATATGAACGCATGCGCAAAAAGTATTAGAATAATTTTCATATAGCAGAAATAAAATATGTTATTTAAAACATTTTTTTTGTTATTAACTTTTTGAATGACGAGCGATGGCTAAAACCTGTTGAAGGTCACTCGAGGTGATGATCTTGACAATATATGTCAATGTCAAGACCATCGGCGGTTGCTCCCCTTTTCTGCAGTTGTATCATTTAAGTGATTACTCACATCAAAAATTGATACTAGGTACATCCTACAGATGTATGTCGAGGGATTTTCAAACATCCAGAGTACATACTTGAAAAAACTTAGGAGGTGTTCAGGATGTTTATATGTCCGCTTATTCTACATCCATAGGACATTACCGTTTAGATATCATTAGGATGTTTCTAGATGACCACATTTCATTCTGTCTTTATCCAGTGGACATCCTAAAATGTCTTAGGATGTTAAAACCTTGTAGAAAAATACTATTGAGCATTATTGTGTAGTACTTTTTTTACAAGGTATATCTGCGTTTCGGTATGATACAAAATGTAGGAAATGAGTATGCGTCACAGAAACTAACTATGAATAACTCTATTTAAAAAAGCACTTACAGAGGCTCCATGACAGTCTATGAGCACACCCTGATCAAGCTCAGAGTAAGTGACGAACTCCATTTGCATACGCCTCTTTATAGGGATCCGCGTAATTTTTTCCTTACGGAAAACGAGTCCATCTCGCGGCAGTACTGTGTACTACGTCGCTTGCTTGGCGGCGCCCGTAGTATACGTACGTTATAGGCGTATGCAAATGGAGTTCGCCACTTACTTTTAGCTTGATCAGAGTGTGCTCATGGAGCTTCATGAAAGTGCTTATGAAAGTGCTTTTTTAAAATAGAATTATTCATAGTTAGTTTAATTAGTAAAATAGAAAATTTTCATTAAAACAGTACTTACAATCGATAGAACCGATTTTGTAAAATATACTGAAAACTCCTTTTGCTTTGTCAATTAATAAATAACCATATACCGATTTAAAAATAAATTAGCACAACAAAAAACAAAATAATAAAAATAATTATTTTGTCAAATTAATAAAAATAAATGTGATTAAATTCTTCCCAAAACAAAGGATAGTTTTCAGTATGTCTGTGTGGGATATTTATGTATACATTAAAAAAATTAACAATTAAATTGCAAAGATATGTCTCTATAATATACATAAAATACGAATATGTATATGACATGTGTCGAAAGTTGAAAAATGCAATTTATCAATACAGTGATTAAAATTTTTTCGGATCAAAATAGGATATTCTAGGAACGTTTTATATTAATACAATGATAATTACAAATGTCCTGAGCTAATAATACTCGATTTTTATTTAAAACTGTGATTTTAATGTTATTATCTGAGTTCGATTATCAATAGAAATGAATAACTGCAGAGAAAAAATTGAATTTTTAGGCAATATATGATATTATACCAGTCAAAAGTATGCATATTTATTTGTCCAGGACTGATGATCTTTAATAGTATATCGTTGATGGCTTAGTTCTTAACCATTTCCCAATTTTCGCAATCGAGATATTAATTTTTAAAGTACCGAATATCCGTCATCATGTGCGTTCTTAGTTACGCATAAAGCGCATGATGCATCATTTGTCCTTGTTATTCACCAAATAATAAAAAAGGATAAAACGATACATCATGCGCTTCTTGCGTAACTCGGAACGTACCCATCGATAGCTTGATGCGCGGGGAGTGGGAAATGCCTGACAAGCGCCTAGAGTTGCCAACCATTTGGTTTTGACCCGGACTGTTAGGTTTTCAGAAGTCTTGTCCGGTGTCCGGTTGACAAGTCAAACCGGACGTTATATGTCCGGTTTGTAAGTATACCCAAATAATAAAATCAAATTTAGAGCGCCATAAGAAGTTACGTAACAGACCGCCCATTTTCGTGGCGCTCCGCTAGGGCTACGTTCAAAAAGTGCACTCAAGTGCATCATGTAGAGCGACTGTAAAAGATTAAACATCGATAATAATTATTCGATTGTTGTTTTCTAATAAAAATATTATAAAGTTGATTATTTCGCGTAATCTGCCAGCAGTTTATTTTAATTCGTGACCTCAATATTCTTTCGTTTTAAAGTGAAAAGTAATTGAGATTAATACTTGCTTTTGATATACATATGTGTAAAGGTTAGATTAGGATATCAACTTAAATCTTTAATACACAGATTTATTAGCATTGTTTGAAATCTCCCAAAATTTTTAAACGAGGTAAATATATATACATATTCGGATATTGTAGAGAGAGAAAGCGAAGATAATTATTGTAATTTTTTACAAAATTTTGTATTTAACCTAATTTTATGATTATTTTTATGTCCGGTTTTGTCCGGTTCGATTTTGTTTCCCAAAACGAAATGTTCGGTAATTTACACTTTTGAATTTGGCAACCCTACCCGCGCTGTGCACACCGCCGCGAGCCTCTAATCGTTAACGTCACAACTCGAACGGGCAGGCATCTGATCAGCGTCTCTAATACCATCTGACTCCAGACGTTGCAGCCGTACATTCTGCTGGTCGACGACGTCAATAATACCATGTCTTAGCGCCGACACACTATCGTGTCTCCAGATACCTGGCGGATAAACTTTCGAAAACACTAAATTTCATGAATTTTGGCAAAAACACTTTAAATGATGTCAAATAAATGTCCTTAAATGGATTTTCACCGATAAGAAGATTTAATGTCAAAAATATTTAATAAAGTTAAAAAATATTAAATAAAGTTATATATCACCTGAATGGATTACTTTTACACAGCTCAACACACACTCTAAATCACTTCCGAAAGACTTTGATATTGACCTTGACCTCCAAGAGACGCCGTCCAACTGAGCACACCATGAGAGAATGGCAAATTGCATCACATGAATGACAGCGTCCAATCAAGACGAGGGTCACATGATCAGTTTTCTCCAATTTCTTCCACTTCCATGCTTATGGAGTTTTGATGATCGCGCTCAATCAGAGGAGACGGATCACGTGATGCAGTTTGTCACTCTCTCCCTTTGAGATTCTCTACTATATCTATCTTATATGTATAATTATAAAACGATGGGGGTGATGGTGGGATTTTAAAAATTATATAC